ACGATGGATCGGTAGACACGAGATCATCGCTGGATCCTAACTTATGGGTTTTAATAAGTAAGTACAGGACGGGACATGTTGGTAAGTCAATTATGAGATGAGAGATAACTGAAGGTTTTAACCCTGCCGCTCTTGCCACTTTAACCCATTCGTTGTTTAACTTTCGGTATTGACTTTTAAATTCCTTCTCAGACGATGGACGATAAAGGGGAGCATCTTTAAGGTGCTTTTCCGTTATCTCAACATCTAACTGATGGGGAATTGCAACGAACTCTTCACGCTTATCACTAACCGATGTTTTTTGTTCTTATCAGCTCTCGTACCTCCCGCATACCACGTTTTTGTATTTCAGTGAGGTTGGAGCAGTATCTTTTAGCGCGATAGTGATTAAGGACTTTGAAAGTTTCATTCGTAAACATCCGAAATTTAACATCAACTTCATTAATGGGCTCTTGTTGTCTAAAGAACGGTTGAGGAAATGGTGGTACTAGTATTGCCGCTACTCTGTGTTGTTCGCGCCTATTTTGCGCTTCATCCCTAGCTTTTTTGCGGAGTCTATCTTGAAGTTGATGTAAACCGCATGTGACCCTACGTAAGGTTATCTTAGAAATGGGTTCAGATGGTGAGAAACTCGGTCCTAATTCTAATAACGAGCGCGCACTGTCAGGGAGAGTTATGCCTCCTAGCACGCTCAACCTTGAATTTCTTTGCACATTATTTATCCTACTGTGAATCGTTTGATCTTCGTTGGCGGTGTTTCTGTATGCTCTTGAAGCCGTGTTATGCGATTTACTCAAAAGGTCTTCGAATTTTTTCCGCAGAGCTACTTTAGCATTAGACCTAATAGAGTTGCAAATCATAGAGCTGACCCATACACTATTCTCCTCTAGAGGCGGTCCTCCAAATACTGATCACAATAGTTTTCTTTCTTTTCCCACTTCTTCCACTTAGCGAACATCTGGTTTTGTTTGCTTCGTAGACAGATGCGCAGTTCTTCCAATTCGATGTCCAGTACTCAGATGTTACTGTTCCAGTAACAATATGCAATAGTTTCCTCTTTAGTTGAAGCGATCGCTCTGTATGAGCTGTGGTACGTAAAAGATTTCAGTAGAAAATCATGTTTTTATTTCCTTGTCTTTATGTAGACCAGTGGAAATTTTAGCCTCAATAAAGTTACAGTCTCGTGCCGTTGTAATTCATCCAATATAAGCCTTAGCAGATAGTGTCAACCAACAACGTAATGCTTATAGCAGGCATCGAGTTTTTCTGCTTTAGAGGGAGTGACCCTTTTTCGCAGAAGCGTAAATGCTGTCCGCAATATTTGTTAGAAAATTGAAGTGTAATTCACATTTTTTTAGGCACGTTAACAGCTTTTATTCTTCCTTTGAACCTTTGTTTGATAAACTTTCCATGCGTGGAAGGAATCCTTCTTTCCATCCACAGCTTGCTGTTTAGTTTTGGGGTGAACACAATAGTTATTGAGGTCTGAATCGCTCGTAGAATGTGTCAATGGCGTTTTCTTGATATCTTTCACCAACGTAAATGGCCTTCTTTACTCGATACTTGATACTTGAACGACCCGTCCTCACTGGGTTGGCGTGCTCCAGTGCAGTCTCTATTTTTCTGGGATTTGCTGGCAAAGCCACTGTAGTTCCCTGGAATCCCGAGATCATCTGACCAAAGTCTGTCCCAGGTCTTCACCACCACAGGCAGACGCAGTCCTTGTAGATCAGAGTGAAATTTGCCACCATGCAATTTTGATACTGGGACGGTGGTGGATCCTAGTATTGGTTTACTCTTAGCTAGGCCTCCTGATGGAAACGCCGAACTCCTCCTCAGTTTGGGAGACCCTGCCAGCGAAACTAATCCTCTGCTGTACATCTTTACCCGACACGCAGAAACACCTCCTAGCCACGATGAGGCAGTAAACCGTTGGGTGCAATGACCTTCTTTATGATAAATTTTCAGTTATTGCCTACTATAATTTTTCACGGCAGAATGTTAGGGCGGTATAAAGGCTAAACGAAGGACCCACATGGTGTAGTGGTAAACGTATTAGCCTCCAAAAATGGCAGTAACCTGCTCGATTCTTATCGCAGACACCTGCACTCAGGTGTTTTGCAATTATCTAAGCACCATTGTGACCTTGTACAGTTTCTTTTTGTGCAACTTTTACAAATGTACCGCATAATTTCTGTTCATGCTACGCACTTTTCAAGCGTTTATAGTATATGTTACTTTTTATTACCATATATAGGGGTTGTGATCCACTGAGGTACATTTTATTTTACGTTAAGATGAGCCCTCATGCCCACCTAGGACGTTCAAAAATAAGAAAGACATTAAAACCGTCAAGGTGAAAATTGACCACATTCGAATAGTTGGAGGATTGTTTCAGATAAATGGAAACCCACCACCAGGAACTGACTTTAAACTGATTGGTCCGCTGGCCGAGCGTTTCATTATCACCAATGAGGGTCAGCTAGTGTACGTGACAACGATTCAATGTGAAGTCGCATGCATTACCCCGAAAAAGTTCACGTTGCTGCTAGAAGCCTTCAATGACAATTCGCAACAGTTTGCAACACTTAGCTTTAATACAGTGGTAAGTAGTATTAAACTTGCATATTACGTTATGAACGAGTTATTTATAGAAGCAGTACCAACACGATGCAATTTTTCTGTGTAAGTTCTGTCCTAGGGAGCGTGTAGCGCAGTGGTTAGAGGGACGCACACGTGGAATCGATCTCCGTGCCCATAACCCATCAAGTTTTCTATCCATCCAAGGTCGGCAAATTGGTACCAGACTTGTCTGGGAGGATAGCAGCACTGCCTGGATACCTTAGTAGCCCACCACGAGTCATTATAAAGGCCAGATATGCATTCAATCACTTCCAACGATACTTAATGAAGTCGAGTGCATGGCGCATCCCTCAGGGATTGATCAACGCCGAGAGCTTTATCCTTTTAAGTTTTGTCCTAAGCACTTGCGTAATTGTACTAAGTGTTATTTGTAATGATATCAAATCATAATGTGAAAAGGAGTGTAGCGAAGTGCTTAGAGGTGCCATGCTGTACAACAGTCGTTGGTTCGATTACACGTACCGAATTTATCAAGTCTCTCATAACTCCGGGGTCGACAAATTGGTACAAGACTTTTCTCTGAGGATAGCAACAAAAATGCGTGGTCCATCACAGTTAAAAGTTAAAGTCCTTTCGAAGAAGGATAAAGCTCTAAGCGTTATCGATTCTTGATGGATGTGCATCGACGTCATCAAGAATGGTAGGACTGATGGAACGTATATCTAACCTATACAATAAATCGCAGTGGCCTACCAATGTATGAAGCCAGTGCTGCTATCCTAGCAGACAACTCTGGTGACAATTTACCGAACCTGGAGAGAATGAAGGCTTGGTGAACCTGGTGCTTGCGATTGAACCAAAAACCGTGTGTGCATTGCTGGACATCACTAACCACTACGCTACCACCACTATTTTGCGCTTTTACTAAAGTTAAATTGCTATGGTAACCTTAACCCTTTTATTTACTGCCTTTTTCTTTTAATGGCAGGGTATGTTGGAAAATATAACTCGTATATAATGCTGAGATATTTGCAAAACTCCGGACCGCAGGTGTATGCGGTGGGGAACAAACGCTCGCTATTGCCCTTTCTTTGGAGTAGCGCACTTCACCACCACACCATCCGGGTCCCCACCACATACACCTGCGGCCCGGAGTTTTGCAAATATCTCAGCATTATATACGTGCTATGGTAACGTTTTAACAGTGAAAAAAGAGCATAAAGAAGAAATTTTTGTTCCCATGGCTATTTACAGGGTAGGGAAAGGTTGAGATTTCTCAACGCAACCTACGAAGCTATTGTGCAGGAAAAAACAGGTGTATTTGAGAAAGCGCTGAAGGTTATCGCAGTAGGTCGGCCATCTTAGTTTGCTCCTCTCTTTTTAGTTGTTTTCTTAGATGTATTTCGCTATGTGCATAAAGAATGCGTTGTGAAAGTGTTCTAGGCGGAACAGGAACCATTGTATATTCCGTTGAGGATCCGACGAACTTATTCTCAATCCATCCAAAGACTGGAATTCTAATGGTGCAGGTGAGTATTAAGACAGTACTTAGTTGATTTTCTATTTAACTGAGCTTACCCGAGATCGGTATTGAAAAATTTCTTTTAAGAGTACTTGTTTCTTCATATCACCCCTCCGAGCACATAATGGTTATGCCAGAGCTTCTTCCATTCATTCCGCTATCCAAGACAGGTCTGGCACCAGTTTATCAATCCCGCAGGGATAGGGGACAGTTCTTCCTTGGTATAAGAATAGAAGCAAAGACGACATGTGTTTTGTAGCGCAGTGCTAACCATTTCGTTAGGGGAGCTCTCGTGAAGATGATATGTGACAGTTTATTTCGGTAGACAGGAAAAAGCGTTGCCAACTATTTTTCATATGCTATAAAAGGCAACAGCGGTACACCTTCATCAATGATTCTCACCTTTTTGCAGCACCCAGAATTTCTTACTCGATCCGACTATGGAACAGTGTTGCTTATGACGGCAATCGCCACCGATATGAAGACGTTAGTTAGTGCTCCGATACATGTCACATTAATGCCGAAATATGAGAAGCTGAACAACTTTCACTTTGCTATGGTACGTTGTTAGTAGTGTTTCTAGTTGCTAAGTGACATTATCAATAGAAAAAACTAGAAGTTGACGTTTTTCTGTTGTTTTCGTTTATGAAAGGAAAGGGCTGATTCTTGCTGTTAAATAATTTGAAGTGCAATTGAGTTTGAAAACAAAGGTGGCAAAAACAAATGAAAATGGGGTTGGACCCCGGGACCAATTAAAAAGTAAAAAAGGATCCAGCCATCCGCTGACAATTTAATGAAATAGACTAGCTCGACATATTATTGTTCTTGTAAATAATACAGAGTGCTTAACATGTGGAAAACGAGTCCACAAAAAGCGGAGGAGTTTTACGGTGATGTGGCTTCCAGTACCTCTATGCTTCAGTGCTGAAGTTTTTAAAATAAAATTTATGTCTCTGAATTAATTTTTATAGTTACTTAAATACACATTTCTTGACGTCTTCTTAATCATACAAATACTATTCGTTCAGAAAAACTACTCATTCACTGTACTCGCTGGTCAGAAAATTATCGGTACAGTAGAGATAATCGGTGCAGAAAATCATACGGTACTTTACGATATTTCCGAAGGAGGACAAGGCGCTATTACCGTTGACGACAACGGTACACTAATCTACTATCGAGAACCTGAAAAAGATTCCAGGGATTTCAGATTGTTGGTAAGCTTTACGTCTATTTTCTATGATGTGGGCACTTTTCCTTTGAGACCTCGTATAACACGCTTTAGGGCACCAACGCTAAGTCACTGTTTTGACAAACCCGCGCTGAACAACGCGCGCGCTACCCAGCAGAGTTATGTGTTGCTAACATTTCAGGTTACAGCGCGTTCGACGAAAAACCAATTCTTTTTGGCTACAACGTGGGTGAATGTTACAGTTAAAGGGATTCATTCCAATCCGATACGTGTGATCGGATCCCGTCAACGCTCAACTGTTTTGAGCTCAAGTGAGTACTGCTCAAATTAAGAAGAAAATCTTTTATGAATGTACACCCCGGCTTTTATACTCCTTGTAAACTTTTCTGGATCTGTTAACTACTGGAAATATCTTTCGAGAGTGACGAAATAAGGTCAAATTGCAACTTAGTTTATTTGAAATGCCTATTTAATGCTATAATGTGCTTTTTACTTTTGTACTAATTCCAATTCTTCTGTTTGTTTATTTGCCTGTCTTGTTCTCTTCAATATTTAATCGTTTTTGAATTTTTTGCATTTCTTTTTTGTGAGTGAACGTTTACGGGTGATTGCTGGTGGCAAAAGATCGATAGAACTAGCTAAGAGACAGGCGAAAAGAAGAACCTGCATGGTGTGGTGATGAACGCGTTACTCCCAGGAAAGGACGTTACGCGTTCGTTCCCTACCGCGTACACCTGCGGTCCGCAGTTTTGCAAATATCTCAGCATCATTAAAGTTTTTACATTTCTGTCTACTACTTATTTTTCACTTATTTCCGAAGAATTAAAAAATTAAGCACGATAACCGCATCGTGTCTAAGTGAAAATCATCAACGCAGTAATTCATGACTGTTATTAACAAACTAAGAGGCTGGTAAAACAACGGTCGTTGTACTGTTCATCGTGAGCACGTTGTCTTTGTCCCCTATCAAAGGCTCACCAAGCCTTTCACACTTTTGCGGCTGGGAAAATCGGTACCCGACTTGTGTGGGAACAGTTCACTGCCTTCAATCCAACTGGGAATCCGTCTATTTTACACTCCAAGTTGAATCGACTCCACCAGCAATTAGCGAAATTCTCAAAGAGAAAGAAAATCTTCAAGCAGCAGCTGAACTCAAAAGGTTTGACGATTTCTCGTTGATGGCGGATGCGAGGAGACGAGAGAGGAAACGAATCGAAAGCAAGAAATGCTGGCACCTGCATAGTAGATGTGAATGCAGGTCTTATAAAAATTCGATACCTTTAACGTTTTCTTTTTTCGACGTTTTTTTTTCCAACTCGAAAGTTTGCTTTTAATAAGGATAAAGGGATAAAGCTCTCGGCTCTTGATCAATCCCTGAAGGATGCGCCGTGCATTTGACTTCATTAAGCATCGCTGGAGGCGATTGAATGCATATCAGACCTTTACAATGACTAGCTGTGGCGTACCGATGTATGGAGCCTCTGCTGATCTCCTCCCAGACAAGTCTGGTACCAATTCGCCGACCTCAGAAGAATGGAAGGCTTGGTGGGTCATGGGTGCGGAGGTCGATTCCACGTCTGTGTCGTAGTGGCGCCTCCAACCACTGTGCCACACGCTCCCACGCAAATTGCTTTCAATAACTTCTGAAACATTCAGTGTTAATTTCTCTCATGTGTAGACCATTTAAATGAGTTGAAAGCGAAAGAGTTGAAGACACAACGAACTTGAATAGAATTTTTATTTAAAACAGTTATTGTGAAATTCTCAGCCATTACATTGCTTTCTTCATGCTACTTACGGCCCTCTGTCCACAGCCTCCTCAAAATTTAAAAATTTCAGCAAATTACCACCATCCAATTCCAATTTTTATTCATGAAGTTTTTATATTTAAGAGACAAAACCTGGTTCCACTGTGGCCGAAATCCAGATGACAGATGATGACAACGACGCTGTTGTACAGCTGTCGTTGGTGGATATCACTGGAATGTTCTTCAACGGAAGCGTGATGTCATTGCTAACGTCAGAGATATTCAAAGTGCACATGATTGGTAGAAAGTCTGTCATTCTGCTAAATGACTCGCTAGACGATCTGCCTCTAGTCTCAATGACACTAACTCTTCACGCTCGTGACATAGCTCATGACAATGAGCCAGTAGTTGTAGGTTTGTTCTCTTTCTTCTCTTTTCAAAGGTCTTTTTGAGCGTTTTTAACAAACATTTGGAAAAGTACTTGCTCAGTGGTTGGTTGCACTGAGTGTATTGCACATAAATGTGTCGCAGTGATTTGGGATGCATCGCAATACACATGTGGTAGTTGGTTCGATCCCACGAACCGGCTGATCAATTCAACCATCTGAGATTGGACAGCTGTTATCAGATTTTTCCAGGAAAATTAAAAACAGTGAATAATCCGTTGGTAGGTTCCAAAAGTTGCTTTGTAAACCAAACAAGCATCCAATCACTTTCATGGCGTGTAACATACAGAGAAAGATTTTTTGAGTTTTTGTTAGAAAGGCATTCACTATGAGGTTTTTTCTAGGCTAGTATTCTAATGTGATTAAAAAGAATACTTACGTCGTAAGCAGACACGGTGGAAAAATGAAAAAAAGGACAGGTGGTCATAGTTTCTAAAGAACATGGTTTTCAGTTACACAGCAGTTCCTCATTACGAGGAAGACTCCTTTGGTTTCCGAGACACCTCTGCCGTTCAAATTCGTTGAGGTGATTTCTATTTGCTTGTCATTCCACATTTCTGTAAAACAGTTTTTGTAAAATGGCTTTTTCTTTTCCCAGTAAAACCACTTTTAATTTTATGTCCGGAAGAAAAACAAGTTGTTGTAACGAATTGGTTATCGGCGAAAGTGTAGCGGTTCAGATTCATGTAGAATATTAGCCACGCAGGTCTTTTAGTTGTTGTAGTTGATCTACCAGCCTCAAACTTGGGTAATTAAACCTGAATCGCTATAGTGCCTGAAACATTGAACATAATTGATCGAGAAGATTAGAAAGGTTACATTGCGGTGTTTGATGTGCGAGTGCGAG